TATATATATATATAAAACTATTAGAATTTAGATAAACGAACCTACCGAGTGTAAAAGCACCTGACCATCCTCCATGGTTTTCAGCGAGAATGACTTTTCATTATGCTGATGTCAACAAAAGCAAAGTTATTATTTATAAAGAAATTAATTTTTTTTTTTTAAAAAGAACTTACGATAACGGAGGAAATTCCGGGATACAATCCATAGCAGATAACTAAACGAATGAGATTTTCGTCATAACTCCAAGCATTGAAAATGACCATATTGCCCTCGACAAGACCAGTATCTTTAAGCAAAGATTAAAAAAAAAAACTCTTCTCAAAGAATCAATAGCTTTCATGGACCGAGCAGACAGAAAATTCTTCCAACAATATTCATATCCACCAAGTGCATGTTCAGCCACTTTCCAACCCTCATACGCCCTCACAAGGGCAAAATGGTCACTATGATCTCGCAAAAATTGTGCTTTCGCCGCCTCTGCTAGCTGTACAAAAAGACCCATTATTTTCATAAAATATAAATTATTATTATAAAAAGTGACTTACATCTTTTTTATCTAAAGGCGCTAAAAAAGGATCTCTGACACTGCAACAACTGTGAGTATTGGATCATGGCAAATAAGAATTGCTCCCAAAATCAGCTCAAACATGGAATATAAAAAAATAACTACCTTTTTTTATTATAAGAGTTTTGGAATATAAAAAAAAATATACCAAGTACAGTTAGATCTTTGTTCTAAACTAAAGCACCAATAATCTTGAGATACTCAATTGCATTTTGAACGTATGAATGGGAAATAATAAGTATGATATTTTTTTCCTTTTTATATATAGATAAATCCATTAAAAATGAGGTAGAGACCAAGTGACGCGAGAGAGCAAAGCAGTGACAAATGAGGCAAAAAGAAGTCAAATTACACTGTGTGATTACTGATTACACAAAATGCATACCATAACTATCAAGATTCAATAATGAATCTCATAGTCCGGAACAAATAATGAATTACTTTTTAATTTATAAAACAATTATATTTATTTTTTTTCCAAAGAAAAATCTACCTGTTTTGTTCCATCCACAAAATTGTTGAGGTAGTATCGTATTAAGGCATTCCATCTGTCTTTAAGAATCCCTTCAGTAGTCCTCTTGCCAACTCTATTATAAAAAAGACATTAAAAGTTTCTGCACAAATGTTGGAAATATCAAGAAATAACATATCATAAAAAAAAATAAAACAAAACTTGATACTTTTGTTACATTAAAATTTACATACCAAGATCAAACATGTATAAGTGATTATACAGATATTCAGCATCAGTATCACACACTGGAGTCAAAGTCAAACCTTGCTGTTGTTGACTTTTCAATCTCAACTGTTTTCTCAAAGATAACTTCTCCAGTTTTCTTTCATCTCTTTCGTTTTCAGTTACAATCCCTGAGTATAAAAAAACATGTATATTGAAGATTGAACTACAGCAATAGCAACAGTAGAATGTTGTTATAGAAAGAAACGAAAGTAGGATTTTATAAAACATTAATAAATGAAAATATGTTGCCAAAATTAGGAGTTATTATGGAGTTACCTGTGCTATGTGTTCTGCAGCTGCAACTCTTGGTTTAACAATTTCACAATTTGCTATCATAAGTGTATTTGGAATCTCAATTTACAAACCCTACAATGAAATCTAGTGTTTGAAAAAAAAGGTAAAATGAACATTGTAAGAAAATTTGAACTTCATGACATACACATTTGATAGTATAGAAAGAGAAATACCTTCTGATAATCACGAGCAGTTGTACCCATTACATTTCCATATGCTAGAGTTTGCAGAGTCGATTTAACTGAATCGGGATCCATGCCTTTTATCTCTGTAGAAAAACTAAATAATTGGAAGAGTAGAACATCCAAGACATCATGAATCAAAGGCTACAAGGATCTGAAACAATGTTGAAATTACAATTGTTTGCATATCGATTTTGAATTATAGGTAAGTATGGAACCTAATCTTGCCATCACTTGATTTTCTGTTTTTCTCAAGTTCATAGATAATAACAATAAACATATAGCCCAAATCAACCGGTTTACACATAAATAGGTTGGAAATGGTCACCAATAAACATAAGCCAACATTGCTATTCAGCATTGTTACAGACTTACAGGTTGTTCTTCAACTGAATGGTAATCTTAGTTTAGAATGATGGTTGATAAAAACTTATTATGATTATTTGATTATGATTTTCTGATTATTTAAAATCAAAAGAATCAGATTTGCAAAACCATGAAATGAAAGGAGTTACAAATGTTTCTACTTTACATCAGGAAAATCAATTCACATTCAAATATAAACAACTTTCATTACAAATGTTTCTACTTTACCGATCTTATGTATCAATTGATAAATTTAGTGAACCAACAAATTATTCTAACAGAAACCAGGGAAAATGATGAAGAATACAGCTAGGAAAAAAATCGACGGCAGGAAAAATTGAACAGAAACAAACCTAGCTGTGGGGTCGACGCTCTCCGGTGTTTCTGTGAGGGTGAGACGGTCTCCGGCCGGTGGCTTCACAGGGGAGAAGGCAGCTAGCAGGAAGGGAGGCCTCGCTTGGAGGCAACTATCGACAGAAGCACGCGATGGATACTTATGAGGTTTATTAGGTTAAAGGGTATAACTATCAATTCTTTCAAATGGTGAAATAAGTTCAGTTGTAAAATACATCCACTAGAATCCAAATGTTACGCCATTGATTCATTCTCCAATTTGAATCGATCATGTACAATCCTAATAGCAGGTCAAACCGTAGACATTTAACAAATGGCCTATTACATATATGTAATAACATTCAGTCAATAACAACATGAATCACTTAATGTAATGTTGCTAATGAAAAATGTATCAGAAAGAACACTATAACACAACTGATTTCATAAACAGAACCACCATCCCTGTAATAACATTCCCTGTGTTAGCTGTTCAATTGATGTAATTAGCAAAACACAAGCCTCGTCACAAAATTAAACATCTCAACAGATGCATTGTAACGAAAATTTCAAAAACGATAGATCACAAATGGAGTAATCAATCACAACCCTAAAATCTGAGAATGATGAAGAAAATTGAAGTAGAAGGGAATGGGTTCTCTGTTTCTTTAGGTTAGAATTAAGGTTCTCTTTTTAATAATAATTAGAGATAAATAAATAGGATAAGATAAGGGCGGCCCAAACCAATTTATTATATAAATAAGGAAAGCTGAGGGGAGATTGGAGTTGGACCATAGTGGTTGCCGTGTCAATTTTATCTAATTTTCCAGTTTCAGTTGATAGCTATCGGAATAGGTATCGGAGTCCCGTGAAGTGGAGATGGGAAAATCTACTGCGTTCAAGGAAACTTACTCGTTTGGTTTGTTTCTTCCCTCTTCCTTTCTCTCTTTTTTTTTCCGATCTAATGGGTTGATTAATTCATAATTTGGAAAATCACAGAGGAGCGATGCCAGGAATCACGGGACATCATCGCCAGATACCCCGATCGTCTCCCTGTAATTAGTTTACTCCCGATAAATAATTTTGTTATGTATTACAATTCCAAATCAATCTGTGAGTTTGGTCAACATATGTGTTTGTGTGTCTTCCTTCCTTATCCAATATTGATAGCAGTAGAACTGGATGTTGGATTACATAGCTAACCTCTGCGACCATTTTGGTGTCTCTTGTTTTTGTTTAATAATATATTTTATGCAGGTGGTAGTGGAAAGATATACAAAAACCGACCTTCCTGAGATGGAAAAGAAGAAGTAAGTATTTCGTTTACAAGTTTGTAATGGTTTCCATGCTTGATCATGATAGCATATAATATTAGCTAAGAAAAAGAATCGAAAATCATCAAACAAGAAACAATAAAATTAATCTCCGGATATGATTACTGATTAGTTTTTGTTGTGATTTGCAGATATTTGGTACCCCGGGACATGTCAATTGGGCAATTTATTCACATACTTAGCGGCAGGCTCCATTTGACTCCTGGAAAGGCTCTATTCGTATTCGTGCACAACACATTACCTCAGACATGTATGTTATATTGTTATGTCGTCATCATCATAATTCATGTCTGTTTGTTAGCTTTTATTTTTGAGATTTTGTATTTGCAGCCAGCCTGATAGAGTCGGTTTATGAATCATTTAAGGATGAGGATGGTTTCTTATACATGTGCTACAGCAGTGAGAAGACATTTGGCAACAGCACTTCAATCTAATTATATAAGTTGTATATTATTTTACTGGAATGTGTGAAATGTGAATTGTTAAAAAGCCTAGTTTCCCTTGTATATTTATTGCAAGTATTGTTTGTGGTTATCATGGTAGCAAGTCGTTGGCAAAAGAAAAATAAAAACGGTGTTGTGTGTCTTTAACATTGCTTTGGGCTTTCTCCATCTCCAAGCAAGCAACAAGGCGTTTGTGTGTGTTTGTAGGTATAAAAGTTTAATAAAATCGGTTGACAATTTGAGTATGCTTCTTGCAAACAGATGATGTATGGATATTTGTGGTATAAATTAAAGCTCCTGCCTGCATGCATCTTCTACAGATTACCAGAAAGTAATTGAATACCATCAAATCAAATCCAATTAACGGATGGAAGGAAGGAATAGTATTTTATAATCTTTTACGGGGGTGTATACACAAAAGGTCATCAACTGATAAAAGAAACAAAAGCAACTACAACTTGGTTGAAAAATAAACAGACAACTTGTATAAATTTTTATATATCCTCCACTCCCATCAAAAACCATCCATTCTTCATCAAAATTCAAAACAAACATTAGGAGGGTCGTTTCTGGATTAGCCTATGACCTCCACCATTTCGCCACACACCTCGCACGGGTATGGTGTCCTTTGATGCTTCCTCCTCCTCTGACGCCTCAGCAGCATGATTATTACCATTGAGATCAAGAAGTGCAGCCATGGAGCCATTACCAAGCCGAACCCTATGAAACTTTGAGGTTTTTTTCCTTTGCTGTTTACCACCACCTTCTTCTTCCAGACTCTTCTTCGGGGGCTTTAGGAGGAGGAGTTGACCATCAGCAATCTTTGTTTTCCCTTTATTAGCCCGATACCCGTCCTTTGACAGCATCTCCACCTCCTCTTCTTCAGGTGGTCGATAGTTTGATTGCAACTCCCGCACACTCTCCAGTATGCTGTTTGTTAGCTTGTTGTTACCAACAGCAACAGCAACAGCGACAGACTTCCCTTTACCTTTACTGCTAGTACTAGTACCACTACTGCTGCTGCTGGTGTTTTTGTTTCCTTTCTGGATCAGAGTTCGATTGGCATTGTAAACTGCAAGAAGCTCCTTCTCCTTACGAGGATCAGGACACAGCCTAGCCAAGTCAACAACAAGATGCGACAATCCAAACTGCTCCACATACACCAGATAAGTCTCTGCATCAATCCCACCTTTCCGATACTCCCCAGATATCTCCTTGAACGCACCATATCTATCTTCATCTTGACCCAAACCCTCACGTATCTTTTCCACCATTGACTTATTTGCAGCATAAACATGCTGCTCCACACTTGCAGTTGCAGGCGTATGCAATGTCGATGAAACCGGAGGGAAATCAGATACAGAGGCAGTGTCAACCAGATTTGGAGCTGATGATGAATGGCTAATTCTGCTCTTGTTCTTCCAACCGCTGGAAGAGGAAGATGAAGATGAAGATGAAGACGAACCAACAGCACTTGGTTGACTAGAAGAGGCCTGCTGCACATGCACATTTACATTTACAGGCCTCTGGTTGACTGCCAACTTAACCAATGATCCATGTGTATTACTTTGAGGTCTAGAAACTGCTGATGCTGATGTTGACTGATTATTGTTGAAACGAGTGGGTGCTGGCCACGCCGGAGCTGAATTGACAACGTTCACCTTCTTCTTGTTCTGCCGGCGTAGTTTTTCTGCCATGGTGTTTCTTCCACCACCACCACCACCTTCTGCAGCAGACTTTTGAGCGGTACCACTAGGACCGGCGGTGGAGAGTGGAGGGAAAGCCGACTCCTCCAGTGCTCCATTTCTTGGCCTATGTGAAACAGCCATAAGATATCTTGGATCAGATTCTGTAACTAGCCCTTCAAATGACTCAACTAACGGATCAAAACCATTTCTGTTAGCATCAGATGCTTCTGGAAATCTGCCATTCACACTGTTAGCTGTCTCCAGGCTGGCTTCAATTGCTCTGGATAGTTCCGCTTCAGACAGATCACGTTGAAATGTATTTCGTCTTCCGTGTCTGTTATTTTGTTCGTTGCTTCGTCGATATGTGAAGCTGGTTGGTAACTACCCAAAACACAAAAAACATATTTATTTTTTTAAATAAAATAAAAATGCATTAATGGCTCATGTCTACGCAACAGCCAGCGAGTCTCATCTCATACCTGCAAAACAGCATTGCGCTTTGCTCGTGACATGCGACCTCCATGCTCCAAGGCATTGTGCCTCTGGAAATTTAACACAAAAACACCAGTTCGGTTACAAATTACAATACTAGTTTCGAGGTGCTTTTTTAGCTAGATAATAAGACAATTAATTACCTTCATTTCAGCTTCGGATGGAAAAACAACAAACTTCTTGGAAAGGCAAGACTCATCCTCACACAAATGATGCTCTTGGCGAAAATGAATCTGCAACACGACATATTGCTCTTGATTAATTATATGTAGCACCACAACACCAATGATTCATTCGTTGATATTATAATATACTCATAGAAAAATATAAAATCAATCTCAGCAACGAATTGAATTCACTGGCTTGGTTTTAAAATAGAGACATTATGATCTGAAAAACAACTCGCCTCCAAGTCATCATAATTCTTGTAATACTCATATTGACCAGGATTTTGTCTGCATATATTCAAAAGAAAAAGAAAAAAGTTTAAATAACTTGCATCAGTCGACAGAGAGGATGGCTCAAAAATTTTACCTTTGGCATATATGACAAGTGTAATGTTCGGTGGACATATGTGTGTAAAGCTCATTGTCCCCATAAAATGGTGACCGGCAGAATTCACATAAAGGATGTCCCTGAAACCCACCTCTTTCACTTTCAGTTCCATCAACTTCAGAGTCGCCTGTGTTTATATGTTGTTTCAATTGGGCTTTGGAATAAAGCTTCTGTTCACAGATAAATACCTGATGCATTCCATATGTAGATAAAGCAATCAAATCAGACAACTAAGATATAAACAGAAACTCCAAAAGGGAAAAGAAACAACTTTAATAAATAAAGAATCAAGAAACAAAACATGCATGCATTAAAGAATTACCAAAATATCTTATTTAGTCTTTTTCATAAGACCAGTTATAACATAGAACTGAGCTTGGGATTATTCACCATTACTGCAGAATCATGTGTTTGAAAAGGAACAGGCCTTACCAAGCGAATAATATCAGCTATGACATTGCAACCAGAATTAACTGCAACGTGTTGTGCAATAAAATAGATTATATAATATAGAGAGAGCAAAGCTCACCCTGCTAAACAATCTTTTCCAAAATCAAAGTCATGTTTTGACTTTGCACAAAGAACCAATATGACCAGACTTGTCGAATTATACAAGTTACAATTGATATGTGATCACCTAGCCACATTAAACGTGCATCCTATGCAAGTGTAGATATATTTTCAAGCTATTCATGCTAATGTGTTCATTTTAACTCCCAAAGACTCCATGTCCAAGTATAAACGATAAATTAAATATGTTTGATGTTAATCACCATATCACAAGATTTCAAACTTTTCAGAGTCAGTGTCTTAAGTAATACTAATTAGTACACCTGCATCCATACAGCATACCTAGCTTCTTAGATTGCAAGTTTCAGTAATCTAGACAATCCCATTGTGCACACCACTAAAAATATATTAGGCTCAGAGCTTTCCAATGAAAACATAAGAACATGCAATGCTTATATATAACAACGGGCGCAGAGAATGTATAAAAAAGATAGAACTCGAAAGTAACCTTCCTTCCTTCCAGGCAGAGGCTGCACATAAACAACTTATGCTGGTGGAACAGATGACCCTTAAGCTGATGGATGTCACGAAACCTAGCTTTTCTCTTGGAGCTATTACTGGTGTTCTCCTCTATCTTGTCACAAACACTACAAGAAAGCCTACACATGGCCTTGACCATTTTGTATTGATCCAAATCATCAAAGTAGGCCTGTGTGTCTTCATGGTACCAATATGAGCCAGATCGACCTTCTTTATCTTCGGAAGGGAAGACCGAGAAGTCATTTATCATCTTAGTGTAGTCCCCTAAAGCCTGCAAAAAAGCCCCAATCACATAAAACACAGCAGTTTCGGAAATAACATCAGCTTAATGCGAACTATTCATCGAACGAGCGATCACCAGATATGGCATATGGGTAACAACGTTACTATACTATTATAGTTGGAGATGGATCAACAAGAGATTAGAAAGAAACCTTGGTAACAAAGATAAGGGTGGACTCGGTTTTGCAGATGCAGCAGCGGCGATCACTACAGATAAACCGAAGACGAGCAACGCATGTGGAACAAACCTCTTTGTGTCCACAAGATCCGTAAGCAACCCATTCTAGGCTCTCTGCACACACGGCACAGGTATCGTCCATCCTCTCTTTGAATCACAAACTGGGATTGATCGAATCGGTGAGGACGGGCACCACAATTGACGTTTTGCGGCAGCTAGGGTTCGTACAGGGAAGGAAGAATTGGGGATTCTAGACGTCGATTAAAATGATGGGAAAGGTCGGCAAGATCTTAATCCGGGTTCAAATCTTTCTAATCGGTTTAAGATAAGTTGAGACCATAAGCAGTCCTTACGATTTAGATATTTAACTTTTGACCCCCCACGAGGTCTTTCGTTTTCCCTTTTTTCGTCGTCATAAAAAACGTCATTCAGTTTTGGAGCATTTCTAAATATTACTAAAAGAGAACCTTAAATTCTACAATGAAGAAACAAGGGCCCTTGATTGCATTTCCCTCCTTTAGTCTCCACCTTAGGATCATTTTGCTGACATCATCCTAACCCAAAAAAACACACGCGCCTCCCGAATAAAACTTCTTTCTTACGATTCATTCCTAATTTCATTCTTACGTTTTCTCTCCACACAATCAGCCCAATCAGCCAAGAGCTATCGACATCCCCATGAAACTCAATAGATATGAACCTTAACCCCTTCCTTCTGCCGATATGCGTAACCTCATTGATTTCATATATACATGGAATCGATCCTATGTGTTCTACTTCTGCTGATATGGAATCGATCCTATGCGTAACCCCAGGAAGCCCTGAGGGGCACCGCGTCGACCATCAACGATTTTCGATCCTATGTGTTCTACATCAGATGGCTTCGCTGTAAAGACCGTTCTCCGATTCTGCCCTTGGAGGCGTCTGTGGTTGGTTGCCTTCTGAATCAACCTTTAAAAGAACCAGAGATCCTCAAATTGGGCTTGGAAACTCTCTTACAAGAAACGAGCAAAAGAAGTCAAGAACTTATAAGCTGGACTGATTCTGATATGGC